ATAACGACGAAACGAAAGGGCGATAATAAAGCCTACTTCAACTATAGACTCGCGTCGAGCAGTCACAAAGGAATCAAATCCAGTCTCGTTGTACACTAACGCTTTCTTTGATGTTTAGAGTTTTACTTTCTTTCTACGTTTTATTGCTCAGAAAAAACACAAAATAAACATATATTAGAAAGTATAAGTACGAATTATACACAATTAAGGAAACTGAAAAAGAAAAGATGTAGAAAAATGATTACTGGACATGTACATTTGAAATGATTACATAGGGTCTACAGAATTAGAATTGGAATTTTCATTTTTTGTAATGAAGACTTAGGGTTTGATTTTTCATAACAATCTCATATTCGACAACATACTGATTTTGTGAAAACAATCTTAACCCCCAAAAGTTAGGAATTTAGTCTGGAATTTACATCAATATAAATAGAAACTTAAATAGAACTTAATACAAAGAAAAACATCAGTCAAAAATTTATTATGGGGAACACCAAAGAAGGATTAAAATCTCCCAAACTGAATAGAGTCTTTGAAATTTTGATTGATAAAAGACACGAGGTCTTTGATATTTAGAATTGATCACACGATGTTGAAGTTGAATACCAAAATACATGTACATGTATATATCAAACGTAGTATCAATCAACTGATGTATGGGATGAGAGTAACAGAGTGATGGAGGTATGGAATTGGCTGGGGCTATCCTTGACGGAAGGTTTTGTACGTTAAGTGTGTTCCTCAAATCTGGGTTTCCAACTGAATCCTGGTGTAAAAGCATGTACTGTACATGTACATGTACTGTACATGTGCTGTACATGTATAAGTACTGCACATGTACATGTACATGTGCACTGTACATAATAGGCCTGCATGTGAGCTGACAGTAGTAGAAACAGAAAGGGTTGGAATGAAAATCAAACTATGTGGTCAGTGCACAGGCAGGCACTCGTAAGAGCGGCTGTGGGATTAAGATTTGGTCTGGAGTTTGAGTAGTTGCTATGGCGACTGCCATCTGGGCTTGAAGGGGTCAATGCGAAAACGACTAAGGCCATTCAGGGATTCGAACTTAGGTGGAGGTGTCTGGCACAAAATTGTACACGTGGTCTAAGCTAAGAGTAAATTACATGTATTTCTAATTCTAATGACAAGCAGATTATACAAATTGAAATGTAGAAATCAAAACTTAGGCAAATAATGCTCGGTGTCCTCTACAGATATAGAAAAGCATATACCTGTGCCAGTGGTGCAGAAGGATATGAGAACAGATTTCCTCGCACTGGTCCGAGTCAAACTGCAACATACCTGCAGTGGCGCACCCTAGGGATGTGACTTAAGGGTCCCGCAAATTTCAGATTTTGTGTTTTTTGTTGGTTTATTTCTTAATTTGTCCTTCGCTTGCTGTTGCTTAATTTCTGAAAGACAAAGATACACCTGATATACAGGTAGTTAAACATAATAGCCGTAAACGGAAAAAAACTTCAAAGGGAATTTGCCACTGCCGAATCTCAACGCATTGGATGCATCAGTATATTTCACCACCAATTATTCATTTATTAATTGCAATGGACGATATGGTGACGGCGATGATGATGGTTCAATCTACGTTAGAATAAAATTTACATCTCATCACTAAACCCATCTTAACTTAATAAGCAATTGTTTCGTACATGACTAAATTGGATTACTTGTCACCAAAAAAAACAAAAAAAACCCGACTCTCATTGTTAAACCTAAATCCTTCTTTCCAATCAATTTGTGAGTAGTGGTGTAATCTTACAGAGTAATCTCCAAGACATCAATCTATAATCACTTGAAGGGGATAAAAAAAGAAAGAACATTACGACATTTGGCGTATCCGAGAACAAAAATTGCAATTCCCTTGTCCTACTCTGAAGCTGTAGCTGACGTGGCGAATGACCACGTGACTATTTCGTGTAGCATTCCTGTGTATAGATAGATGTACAGTACATGTACATGGAAAAGAGTACCGTGCAAAATTGACTCAACAAATGGGTTTTTTTAAAGGTTTTTGGGCCAAGTGACCAGAGTCACCCAGGTCAGGTCCGTAGAAGGAGGTTTTAAGTTTGCGAGCCACATAAATGTGCCGGTCAATTTCAGTGCAAAGTGTTGTGCATAAACATGTACATGTACAATCATGTGCTTTATATGAGTTACGTGGATTATACTTATTTAGATGGACTCAAAACAACTTTAAAGCACACGTACTTTATCCGGGTTATCCCATTGTTATACTATTTTGATTTCCGGAGAAAGAACCGCTTGCAAAGTTGGCGGAATTAATAAAGAAGAAATGAAGCCCAAAACACGAAAATGCATCAGTGACGACGGCCCTTCACAAGTCACAAAAAAACCATCACCGACTACCATTAATCGGTAGTGGAAGAACATCACTGACCGCGAAAGTCCACCAACGATCGCAAAAACCCATCAACGGTTCCAAAAAGGCATCAACGATGGAAAAGCCCATCGCCCCTAGTGAATATACATCACTAGATGACGGGTGATCACCGATCGTGAATATTTAGTAGTGTTGTATAAAAAGGAACAATGTTGACAACAGGTACCAACTTTTGAGAAAGGAACATTTATTCTAAACTATTTTACAGCTTGCACAAGAGAGAGTGGGAGTACTCCGCATAGAGATGTTGCTTGGAGAGTGGTTGTGATGAGACTGGCTAAAAATGACCAAGTGGTAAAAATAGGGTTGGGAACATAGGCCGGAAGAACAAGGGTAAATCTAACTACAAAGTAATAAATCCTAAACCAGAAGTCTACCAGAGGAATGTGGTAAGAAGGCCAAAGCAATAAAAGTGGGTCCTTATGTAGGAGTGCTCTTAAATCAATTAGGAGGCTTGACATTACAGGGTCAAAAGTTCAAGGCTTCTAATCCACTGCTGGGAAAAATTTACATGGGGTCTACTGTACATGCAAGTGTTCTTATTTTTACAAGGCAAAGGGGGAAAACGCTACAAATATGCATCACCGATAGCTAAGTGCATCACCGATTTGATGATCATATGAAATGCCTCTTTGGCGTTACCTGCCGCACATACAACAGGCAGGAAATCAGCCTACTTTGTTGTCTTTGAACTTTATGTCCATTTAAATGAAATTTGAATTAAATTAATATAAAGAAATTGCTCAATTTTTCGTTTTCAAACATGACAGAGAGACTGTCTTTCCTTTCCCGTTTTAAATGGAAAAAAATAGAAATCCTTTTTTCGATTTTAAAATCGAAAAAAGAATAATGAACGAAACGTACACTATAGACAATTATGCGGTGACACCATGTAGATATATTTCTCGTTTGTGAGTGTGTGTGGTTCTGAGAAGAACCGGGGTTCACTCAACGTTTCGGACAGTGTGCTCTGTCCGTCTTCAGGAGAAAGAATGCCGAACTCTTGCGTGTGTGGCCTTAAGTACTGGTTGGGAGGATTGAGTGCAGTGGGAACTCGTTGAGGCGGAACAGCTTAACTGGTGCTTGTATCTTAATCTTGTGGGTTGCTGTTGGTGGGCTCGGTGATGCATGTCACTCTTGGCGTGGGTGTCGTGGGGAGAGGGTTGTGGACCGTGGGTATAGAGGACCCATTGGTCTGGTTGGGTAGGAGGGGGTGCCAGATGTTGCTTATATCTTTTCTATTTTTGGTGGGTTAGCCAATTACATTTTTAATTTTTCACACAAAATAAAATCACCCCCCGAAAGGTGATGGATCCCAAGCCAGCTCGCAACCGTTTTTCATATGGCATCCCTCTACTTTCTCCGGCACTTAATTAAGACCATTTGTCAACCGTAATTTCACGATTCTGCCATCACATTGAAGGCCACGGACCAGGAGTGTAAACCTGACAAATATTTCAACAATATCACCAAACAATCTCTTTTGTAAAAAGAAACTTGCCGGCACTTTCGTGTGAATTAGCTGGACATAATGTATCACTTGAATTAGTTCGCTGCACAATGAGAGGAGACAGGGAGAAGAAGTTACAGTTTTAGTGCTGGGAGGAAAACTCCAGAAGAATACTTTGGGTAAAACCCACAAAATCAGGTAGGGACTGAAAGCCCAATCCACATGTGGACTGATCTGAGAATCGAATCCGGGCCGCAGATGCGGAAGGCGAGGAAAGAAGCACTATACGCCAACTTGACTCCCACACTGCGCATGAGGAATGACTTTTCGGATCCAGTTGCGATATAACCGCGCAGGCGCAGAGTACGTCACAACCTAAATCGACACGTGCCCCATCATTGAACCGATTTTGGACATTTGCTCTTTGCTTGCCCCAAGGTCTGTGTCCGAATCGGTACTTACCCTTTGTTCCCACTTGCAAACATTGGGGCGCTTTCATTGCGAAATGGCCCTACATCACCGCCCGAGTGTGCCCTACATGCGTGTCACGTTACCTTCTGTTAATCCGTTTCAGCTCACATTCATTAAATTAACTTCTGTATTTATCTGCCTTTAGGTATTTCGAAACATCAGGGTGACTGTGTTCCGTTTAATTTGTTGCAGTTTTAATAGATGTCAAGGCCCCTTTCTATTATGCGCGTCAGCACTTGCGCCAAGCGCTGTGTATCCGTCTAAATCGCTCCTGGGGCGATTGACGGCACACGTTGCTGTGTTTAATGGAGTGGATTTTTTGTTTGTGAAAGTAAAATGCATGAACGCATCGTGTACGCAACGCACCAAAAACAAAACAAAACAAAAAAGTGCACATTGAAAGGCACCTTAAGGGTGTGATGTCAGAGCAGTAATGGAGTCTCCTCGGATTAAACCTCGTTCCCATGGGTACGATCTTGCGCCACCATATTGGTGCCAAATCGTGCGCTCGACATGCCGTGCGCGATCTAGTGAACGAACGCGCACGCACGCAAGTGTGATGTCACTGCAATGATTAGTCTACCGAAATAAATAGTTCCATCCGATTTACAAAATAATACCAACTCATTTTTCTTCGCAAACCTTGAGAAGTGACTTGCTTCGATAAATTGCTTCCAGGTTTTGACACTTCAGAAGAAATGATACGCTTCGCACGTCAAAACAACGCCGCTGCCAATATCACATACTGCATGGGGGACGCACAGACCTTTGGAGACTACCCCGAGTGGCAGGAAAGGTTTGACAAAGCTGTCAGTTTTTTTGTTCTTCACTGGTGTCCGGACCACGCCAAGGCACTCAGGAGCATCCTGGCCTGCCTCAAGCCAGGGGGCGAGGTGCTGCTTATCGTGGCCAACAAAGCCACCTTTTTCACTGATGCGAATCAGTTCATCCGCAGTCACGTGAAGTGGGGTGACTACGTCAAGGATGTGACGGTAGGGGATGTATGGCCTTTATTATTCAATCAGTATGTTTGTTTGTTTCTTTTTTTACTTTACAACACTTCAGCTGGCCTATAACGCACTTTGTTCCAAAGGCGTGCAACATTCTCATTTGATCCGCTCGGGCTGGGTGAACTGAAGAAACGGCATACACGTGGGAAAGAAAAAGGCAGCACTGTGTGCGGTCTCTTGATTAGTACTTGAGACCGGGAAAGGATATTAATTTCCAACCTGGCGAATAAGACTTAGAAATGAAAATTGGTTCAGGCCTGCACATTTTCGTCATTGTTTACCGGTACGTATATGGTTAGCGTCAACGAGTCTTTCTGGACCAAAAACGTGAATATCTACTTCCCTTTTGTTGAACTCTTGTCACTGCGCAGGACTTTAGCAATGTGTATCACTTCTGGGAACGATCCATCCCTGACACGGAGATGCTGCTAAAGGAGTGTGGTTGGACAAACATCCAATGCGAATACCAGGAAGCTCCATCGTTGACAGAGATGCAACAAAAATGTGAGTTCACCCACGTGCTCTTGTTCGTTAATTCCCCCGATACATTTCTCGGCTTTTTTTTTCGTGGAAGAAATCTCTGAATAATCAAAGCAACTATACCCTCTGTTGGAAAAAATAATATACCCAAAATGTTAAGTTACAAAAAAGTGCAGAGTGGGATACGAACCAGGCGTCACTGGATTCGTGGTTTGTCGCAACTTACTGTCTGGGTTGCTGCAGTGACTGAAAATTGGTGGTAACGTCAGTATCTCCTGGGGCATAAACGATTTCTTAATCGGCAAATACTCTACTTCTAGTAGTTCTGAAGAGAAATTTTTTCAGACATTATTCACTGAAATGGCTTCACAGGACTTCGAGAAAAAATACGCCCTGTTATCAATTGATGCATGGTTGACATTTCAAGCCTATCGAAGAAAGAAGAGCCCGGCGATATGCCATCATACGCTTTAGTTCGGCTAAAAACACGAACGCAGACACAGGAGGGCGACAAAGCTGTATCATGTTCAACTTTTCGTCGAGCCGCCTGAATGCACGAACGCAGGCTAAGTTGACATTCCTGCGTTTAAAAAGAAAGAAAAGCCTAATTTTGTTCTCTTTTTTTCTGCAGTATTCATGAAAACTCTTGTGGCGATTATTCAATACATACCAGAGGCGGAACACAAGGCGTTTCTGCAGGACTTGTGGCTGTGGGCGTTGTCTCGATTTGAAGACAAATCCATAACAAGCCGTGTATTGTATCCAGGTGGATTCACTGTTGTGCATGCCTGCAAAGGGCCCAAGGATACATAATTAATAAAAGACTCTTGTGACGTCACTCCCCAGCTCCGTGTCGTTACACTGAGAGCATCTGATAACTTCAACCTAGTACATTTTTGCAGCTAACTATACATAGAAATTCTTTCCAACTAGTGAGGTAATGAAGACAGTGTGCGCACCATGACTCAGTGATGGGTGCCGACTGTATCATGTCTGCATGTACAATGTATGTGACTTAATAGGGATGCATTGTGATTAGGAAAAAGTAGTTGTGCACCCAGCCGAAGTGTTACTCAATTAAAAGCTTGGGCCAGGAGTATACCTTTTACGTACTTGCAGATGTACATGTACAGCTAGCCAACGGCTCAAAATATCAGCAAAACCTTTCTTTCTGTTGTACAATATGAACCTCCCTATTTCCAATCAAAGAATCTCCACTTTTTCGTTTTTCATTAACAGAACTTATGAATTATGAAGGCGCTTCTAGATTTAACCTACACCCAAAGGCAACAACGATGCTAGAAGAATCTTGAATAAGTCACTTGTACAATGTATTGTACTGTCAGTTTTAAAAAGAAAGAGGCACAATTTTAGAATTGAATATTTCAGGTGTTCTTTTGTCACTCCTTGCAAGGACACCCAAAATTGGTCATTTGCTTTTCCACTGTCTGGATATCAGACTTAGCATCTA